CCAGAGTTGGCTTGGCGTTAGCCACCCTCACTCTGCCTCATGGAGGACGGCAGAGCCTGGTGGGTTAGAAATTGTCTCAGCCTAGAAATGGGTTATAGTTGGGGGGGCCCACCTGCCTCTGCTAAGTGGGCCCTCTTCTCCACTGCCAAGGATACCTTGATAGACACTGGATCTTTGGCCTTTGTCTGCATCAGTGGCCTTCATCAGACTAAGTATCAGGCCTCAATCCCCTCTGTCTGGAAACCACTGCACTCTTTTTCTTTGACCCTAAGTGCTGCCACCTTTTTTGTTGAAAGTGCATTCATTCTCCCATTGAGTCACAGTCAGAACCTCAGTTGTCTCTGGCCCCTCCCTGTGCCCCACAGCTTTCAGAAGGCACCCCCTTGTTCTGTCCCCCTGTCACTGCCCTAGTTCCTGCCCTTATCTCCAGTCCTTATCTCTGGCTTGCTTATTGTTCTTCCAGCCTCTGGCCCCTGGCACTTTGTCCCCTCTTTTTTTCCCCTTTCTTCTCCCTTCCCCCCCCCCCCCACACACACACCTTGAAGGAATGTCTGTGCCCATGGAAAAGTTATGATTCTCAGTTAACCTCAGCCTCTGGGATATTAGATCTCCCCCCAGTCACCTCCCCTGCCCAACTCTGAGTCTGAATCTTGGTGAAGCACTGAACTGAGAATCAGTTCTGTGTCCTCCACACAGATTGTCTGACACATCTGAAGTCTTGCGAAGCAGATTTATAAGGCTGCTGTCTGCTCCTGGGATTGCAGAGAACACAGGACGAGAGTGATGAAAGTGAAAGCTTATCATGTCTTCTGCAGATGCACGCTGTGTGGGCCCGTGACCTCTGCCCCAGCCCAGCTCTTCCTGCCCCTCAGCTCTTCCTTGTCCCCTCCAGCTACAGGCATGTCTTCTTTTCCCTCCCTTGTCATTTCATTCATGTAAAGAGCCATGATGTTAGTATGGCTGCTTTTGTTTTCAAAAATGAGGAAACAAGGCTAGACATTTTGAAAAACTTGCCCAAGGTCACATAACAGGGCTGAATTGAGCCTGACTGCCAGTTGTGTCCTGGCCTGAGCCCACGTGGCTCTGTGTTGTGCCTGCTTTCTGTACTGTGTCCAGACTGTGGGGACAGACAGGTTAGATGAGTACTTGTGCTCCACAAACTCCTCCTGCCGAGCAGACAGAGTGGGCACATGGGCCAGGTGGTCCCAGCAGGAAGCTGAGTACCTGGGGCCCACTTTGGGGATCGCTGTCAGCCCAGGAGAATCAGTATGGCCCCTCCCACCCCCTCGACTGTCTCTGGGCAGTTTCTGCAGCCAGGCGTGGTGGCGCTTAGCCCAGTGCTATCACTGCATCTTCAGGGTGAGTCAGGCTTCAGGTGACTGCCCTACCCCTCAAGTGCCCTGGGAGTGCAACTCCAGCCAGCCACTGCCGCACCCCACAGGAAGTCCCTTCGCAGCCCCACCACTAGGCTGTTCTGGCTCTGAGGACAGCAGCAGGCTGGAGTTGTGAAACTTCCAGGTTTGCCTTCACTTCTAGCCCCTTCCTGTTCTCCCCCTGTCTTCCCTAGGTCTTTGTGCCCATCTGTCTTTGACTTTTCTTTACCCCAGTAAAGGAAAGGCTCAGACGGGGGGGCCACCTAGGGTTCTGGGTGTTGTTCTCTCTCCAACATGCACAGAATTATCATTTGCATTATATAAGGCCTACTCAGAGCGAATGAGGCATCTTTGCCCAGCATTGGGAAATGTTTTTGTGCTGTTTCCTCTGCCCCCCACCTAGTTCCTGTTGGGTCCCCAACTGCTTCAGTGTAGTCTTATGGTGGAGGAACCTAGATCAGGAGTTGGAATGTCTGCTCACCCTTGACGGCCTCCCTTACTCCGCTGAAGAGAGCCCCGGCAGCGCTAGCGGGAGGGGGTTGCTGTGCTTCCGGCCTGTACTGTACTCCTGCGTCAGCCACAGCCAGGCTGCCCCTGCCTCTGTGGAGTAGAAGGGGGGCTGGCAGGCTGGGGTAGAGGGGAATGGCCCCAGGCTGGGTGGTGGTGGGAACCCACAGGGGTAGTGATGATGAATAGCTGTTTGGGGAGGAGGAAAGGTGTGTGGGGGGAGGGGCAGGCAGCGGCAGGGTTTAAGGGCCTGGGTAGGTGAGTGTCTCTGGATTTCCTGGGGATGCTGCGCACCAGCACTCATGCTGCGTGTTCACAGGGCTGAGGCCAGACTGCTGCTGTGGTGACTCTGGGAGCACACTCCAGATCTGCAGGGTGGGGGTCACTGGAGAGGGGGCCAGGCTCAGCTGATTTGAGAAATTAAGTGCCCTCTTGATATACTATCTCATACCCCCCAGGGCAGGGGGATTCAGACCTGTAGCTACCACTGACAGGTTCTGGGACCTTGGCAAATCTTTTTCCTTTGCCTGACAGTCATTTTCCAGGGGTCCCTGGAGGTCGAGCCAAGGCGCTGGAAGGCAGTGGTCTCCCCCGGCCCCTGACTGTCTCTTTTGCTGGGGTTGGTCGTGAGGCTGGTTTGTACTTTCTGCCACCATCAAGGCGGTGAGGGGCATGCCTTGATCTAGGCCAGATTGGCCAAAAGGTATTTTCCATCTCAAGAATGCTCATTGGCCTGCTGAACTTAGCCGGAAGATTGGAGTCGGCCTCAACGCTCTGCTCCCACTGCCTGGTCTGTTATTTGTGCCCCTGCTCTTTGCGTAGCTTCCCAGGATGGGGTCATTCATGACCTCAAGCTGTCTGCAGAGCTGCAGCTGCACTCCTGCTACCACCTCCCCCTCCCCAACCAGGCCTCTGGGTAGTTTTTAAAATGTCACTTCTATAGTTGGGTGTTTTCCAACTTGTTAATGAGTAGCTTGGCCTTTGGGAGATCCTTGGATGTCTCTGGGACTCAGCAGCGGGCGGGTGGTAGCAGCAGTGGCTGCAATTCGCCCTTGCTCAAGGACTGGAAGAGGCATGGTATTTACAAAGGACTGGCTGCTGAAAGCTGTTTCTGAAGTCCCTACCATCTTCAAGCAACTGGCTTAGGTCAATCGCCCCTGTGGAAAGCAGCTTTCTGTGGGGCTGCCGTCAGCCTGCTTTGCTGCCTCTGTCCTCTTTCACCATGGGAGGCTCCTTTACCCTCTCCCCGTGGCCACCAGGGAATCTGGGAAGGAGCTTTTGGTCTGAATGCCCAGCTTCTGGTTTACTTAATCAGCTAGCATGGAGGGGTGCTTGTGTCAGTTGGGCCTCTGTGGAAAGTCCCACCATGCCCCAGCAGCCCTGGGGGCCATGTGGAGACCTAACTTGTTTCTTATGTAGAAGTTTGTACTCTGCCATCTCTTCCCTCTTCGGTCATCACCAGGTGAATGTCTCTGTGTCCCAGGATCTTTCTGCCCAGCGAATCAGCAGGCCCTTGGGGACATACTGTGGACCTTACTCCAGCAGATCCTCCCGTTGCCAGACCCTCTGTGATGGCCCATTTGCCTTGACAGCCTGGCATCCATCTTCCACCCTGACTGCTTCTTCAGCCACTTGCAGTGTTTTCAGGCCATACCCCACCTCTGCTGGAGCTATACTCTCCTCCAGGGTGACCCTTGATATCCAGTCTCCCCAGCCAGCAGCACCCCAGTTCTGTAGGATGTCTCCCACCCAGCTGACAGAATCATGTTGACTTCATGTAGCTGCTGTCACTTTTTCCTACTGCCTCATCCCCATGAAACCCAACTGCCCTGGGATGACAGAGCGAAAGGGCAGTTAACCTATTCATCCCGTAAAAGCCTTTTTCAGAACCAGGCCTCCTGCTCAGTTTTGGTGATCTCCCCCATAGGTGTGAGGCCAAGGAATGGTGGGGTCTGGTTGTTCTCAGTGTCTCCATTGTGAACACCAGCAGGAAGTGACTCATAAAACAAATGTCATTCACAGGGAGGCTGATGTCAGTGGCAAAAACAAAATTCTAGGAGATAGTACAAGTAATTTTTTTCCTTACAGTGTGTATGTCAGTTCCAGCTCATTCTGCCCAGCTTCCCGGGGCTTACAGACATCTCCTCAGAACAATGTTCCAGTGAGAGTGATAGGCAGGTCACTGGCAGTAGTGCAGTGCACATTGGCATCCTCTGGTGGTCTGGCCATGGCATCTAGGGAGAGCCTGGAGCCTCTTCCCATGAACCAAGTGTGTGGTCACTCATTTGAGGGCACATATGTGTGCACCTCGTTTACCTGTTTGTTCTCAGGGCAGTAACCAGGTAGGAAGGGGGAAAACCCAGGAAGGCATTTTCCACTGCAGGTAGAAGCAGCGTGGTGGTGCCTTGTTGTGGTCCCTGGTGCACCCAGTGGATAAACACCCCTGTGTCAAGGTGCAGAACATGATTCCTCTAGACTTAGAGGGATTTGGGACATGGTGGGAGGTGGTGGTGGGTGGCATGAGGAAGACAAAAGAACCAGACTTAGAAGAAAAGTTTCCTATGGAAACTTCCAATCAGTTCCCCTTCCCTCTGTTACCCTGAGTACTTGGCAAGAGTGAACCTTTTTATAAGCTTGGTCCTAATGTGAGTTCAGCTGTAAAGGGGACCAAACAGATATTTCTGGAGGGGCCTCTGGCCTGGAGGGAGAACTGGGAGGCCGAAGCTGGTGGCTGCTGCTTCTGACAGTCTCTCCCAGTTAGGTGAGTGGTTCATCCAGTAGCTAGTGGCCTGCCCGCATGAGCCCTCTTGGCCCTGACTAAATTAGCTTTTTACCACCTAAAACCTGCCATCTCTTCCTGCTAGTATTCCTTGAGGCCTACCCTGGGCCTGGGGTGGGGCCAAGGAATTAATTCTGCCAGGGCAATCGAGTGGCTGGCATGAGGCTCAGCCTCTCTCCCGTCAGTTGCAGTAGGCAGGCACCCTGTTTGGAGCTGGCATGCCCCGTGATGCCCGACAGGGTTTTTGACTCCTGGCTTGCCTGCACTTGGTCAGCCACTGTGCCGTGGACCTGGAGTAGGGATGTTTATCTGAGCAGCTGGTTTTCTTCTTTCCTCTGAAGGACAAAGAAGATGGGGAGCCAAAGACCAAGCAGCTCAGAGAAGGAGAGGAAGAAGGCGAGAAGCACAGGTAATGGCTGACACCCCTCTGCCCAGCAAGCTCCACCACACCTGCTGGCTTCCAGGACCTCCCAGCTCTGCTTCCCAGTCTCTACCAGGTCACTTCTCCCCTGTGGGCCTCTGTTCAGACCTGACATTCTCTCCCCTCTCCCTCCTTGGAGCCCTGTGCCTTCGCTGCCATTGGTCAGCTGTTATTTTCTTCCGAACCTTCCCATCATTTCATCAATAGCCTAAACACTATGCATGACGTGGTTCTAAGCACCTGCCAGATCACGTTCAGACTCCTCACTGGGTGTGCCATGCTCTACCTGGATCAGCCACTCTGTTCCAGCCTCCTCTGGTTCCCCTGACCCACCCCTGGCCACTCAGTGCTTCCTGAACATACCTGTTTATGCTGTCCTTCCAGCCAGGAATTCCTTCTCCTCTCTTCTCTGTTTCTTACATGTCTTCATGGCAAGCTCAGCTCAGAGGACTCGGGTTTCTTTTGTGTTCGCACCCCACTCAGCAATTCATGTCAAGTATGTGTTTTACTTCACCAAATTCTGTCATCTGGTAGTGAGCTTCAGTTGCCTCATTGCCACTAGTTGGCTGTGGTTGCAGGCACGGTCTCCCCACTCCTTAATCTCCAGGGCTGGAACTTCTACAGTGCTACTTTGCCTCAAAAAATGCCCCACAAATGTCTGCAGAACTGAGGTGTAGTGAAGAGAGGAACTGGCAGTTGGTCCCAGGCGGTCAGAGGAAACTTCTGGGCCCACAGTTCAGGGCTCTTGTGCCCTCAACCCATGCCTGGCCCTGAGGGTCATGAGGTGACTGGAGAGCTCCTCTTAGGATCAGGCTTGGTGCCTGTGTGACAGGTGACCGTGATGTCCTCTCCTGAGTCATACCCTCAGGCCTGTGGTCTGTGCAGACTCCAGTTCTCCTGGGGAAGCAGATCTGGATGCCTGGAGGGTAGGCAGTAGGAAGGGAGGGCTACTCTCTGGAAACAGCTGTGGGGGGGGGGGGCATGGGGTCAGGAAGGTCAGCAGGCCTTCGTGGTGCACAGTTCATTTGCCGTCAACCAGTGTGAGAGGAACCCTCTCCAGACACATCTTTGTTTTCTTATTTAGGAGCCCATTTCAAATAGGACTGGGCTTTATCTATTTTTTTTTTTTTTAAGATTTTTATTTATTGGGGTCCTCCCTGGTGGTGCAGCAGGTTAAAGCATAGCACTAAGAAGCTAAAGCCACTTCAGCATGAGTTCGATCCCGCCTGCCCCGGAGGAGATCCACATGGCGCAACAGGCCTCTCCTGTCCCACCAGCTGCTTCCCTCATCGGTGTACTTCATCGGTCTGCCTGTTCTGCTCCCCACTCTGTCTCTGATGAATCCTCTCACCGCCCCTGCTCCTTTGGCTTGTACCCCAGTTCTGTATGCATAAATAAATAAATCTTTAAAAAAATTTTTTATTTAAAGTGGGGAGCAGAACAGGCAGATCGACTGAAATACACTGCTGAGGGGAGCAGTGGGTGGGTCAGGAGAGGTCTGTCACACCATGTGGGTCACCCCCTGGCCGGGGATCAAACTCATGCTTCAGTGGCCCATTGTGCCAGGAGGGCCTGATTGGGCTTTTTCAAGACCACATGGCCGTGTGTATGTGTGTGAGTGTGTGACTCAACAGTTTACAAAACACATGTACACTGTGCTTACAGCAGCCCTGCAGAAAGAATCCTTGCCATCTCTCTGTGCTCGGAGACAGTAATAGCTCTGGTGATGCTAAATGGTGGTGCTAGAACCTTTGCCACCCTAGCACTGAGCTCTGTGCTTTTTTGTTGGGCCTTAGGCCCCTTCCTCATCCCCTTTCCCTCCGCCACCTCTGCCCCCAGCACCTCAGGAGACTGCCATCACTGGTGACAGAGAAATGTTCCTTTCTGGAGTGACCCCAGACTTGAGTAATTTGGGTGCCTGTATAGTTTCTCACGTTCTGTGGTAACTGTGGATAGACTCTTTGGGTTTTCTTCTGGTTTGTTCTTAGATCTGCAGTCACTGACAGACTAAAGCTTTGTCCCAGTTTCTAAACTGTCTCTGCTTGCAGGAAGGTGCTTTCTCTGACCCTCCTCCTTCATGAGAAAAGAGAAGGGTCACTGGTTAGCAGGCATGTGGCTGGGCCACACAGTGGAGGACTTGGAATGTGACAATGTGATTAAACCTGAGATGGGGTTGAGTGGAAGAAAGAGCAGGCTTCTGAAGTGAGCTGGAGCGGCAGAGTGAGACGCGCGTGTGTTCTTCAGGCAACGAGTACTGCTTGCCTGATTTCCAGTGGGCAACATTCCGAGAGGTAGCAGCGGACAAACACAGCCCTTCCCTGCGTGGAGCTGATACTCTCCAGTGGGATCAGACTGTTAACAAATCACCAAGTGTGTGGAAGTTGTCAGCGCTGTAAAGTGGAGGTGGCAGAGTGTAAGCATGCTCACAGGAATAACACCAGCTCGTGGCCTCAAAGTGCTGCTGGGGAAGCTGGGAGGAAACAGGAATAGAGAAAGATTTTAACCAGTTACAATATGTGATTTCTATAAAAGAAAAAAAAAAGAGGAGGAGACAGTCCTGTCTCAGATATGTTGCTTTTGTTGACTGAGGGGGAGATAAGTGTATGTGTGGTATTACTCTTTGAGTTCTTCCTGTGTCTACCTCATAATGAAAACAGTGTGAAAAAGAAAGTGAAGGATGTGCACTGTTCCTAGTTCCTGTGGGTGAGCTCAGGGTAAAAGGGTGCTGCTCACTAAGTCCTAACGGGCCCTTGCAGCAGAGCATGAGTCCCTTTGAAGGCCTTTACTGAGCCCATTGAGCTGGGCACAGTCAGGGCTTCTGCTTCTTTTCGCAAAGCAGCCCAGAGACCTGGCACACTAGGTACTGAATTGAGTTCTGACTCAGCACATTTTGTTCTGCTTTTCTCTGCTCTGGCCTCTCTTGAGGTAGTCAAGTGTGGACCTCAGTCTGGCTGGTAATCAGGAGCTTGACTTCTGGGTGGTACTTGGAGAGAATTGGGCAGGTGGACTTCCCTAAGCATCCCTAATGTGACAGGACCTGCTGTCACAGGGTTGGAAGGGAGCTGTGCTTTCACTCATGGCCCTCCAGGAAAAATGGACTTTCCCAGTTTTAACAGGTTAGGGACTGGCCTGGGTTATTCAAGCAGGCAGGGCAAAGCCTTGTTCCCTGCACCAGGGGGCCAGGCCCTAGTCTTTAGGGCCCAAGACTCGGGCATGGGCTTACCAGGAGGAAGCCAGTGGCAGCAGTCTGTCCATCCCAGAAAGATGGGCAGGAGGGTTCTCTCTTCATCTATACCCCATGTCTGGACCAGGGACTCCCAGCAAGATGGTAAAAGGAAAAGACTCCAGAGGGCCCCTAGGTCACAGCCCTTGCCACAGCCTCCTTTTTCAGTCACCATTGAGCATCTTGGCTTCCTCAGCTTCTGGGAGGTAAGAATAACCTGCTTCTGGCCAGGTTGAGACCAGGTGCCAGGCAGGAAGCACCAGCCCTTCTGAAGTGCCCTGAGAGGAGTGTGGTGCCCACTCACAGCTGCCTTCAGCTGCGGGCTGCAGGATAAGGCCTCATGAAGAACATGCCTCTTGAGAACATGCCTGCCCAGAGGGTAGGACTTGGGCAGCTGAGATCCAGGGGTGTGAACAGCTGTGTGAAAAGGCTCTGTGTAGCTTGGGGGGCAGGGAGCATGGATAGCTATCCCCCCACTTTCTTTCGTAAATACCAGCCTAGGCTTTATCAGGCCTCTGGAACAGAGGAGAAGAGTAATTAATTAATTGACTGATTATTTTTCAGAGGACATTAGTGTGAACTAGGCACCCTTGTGCAGGCCTGTGTCCAGTGCATTGATTGGTATCAACTAGTTTATCATGTGCTTTCTTTTATCCCAGACAGGTCTTAGGGAAATGAGTGTTGAGGCAGCAGCTCCCCAAAACATAGGCACTAGGCAAGTGGAGAGAATCCAGGATTTGGAAGCAGCTCCTAGTTTTGAGGTCAGGTCCTGCCAGCTATAGTTTTGTGACCCTGGCCAAACCACAGTGACTCTGTGAAGCTCACCTGAGTGTCTTCACTTGAAAAACAATAAACGTGCCTTAACTGTTCACTGGGCTAAGTGCTGAAGCTTTGGATAGAAGAAGACACTTTGAGGCCCTTTTGAGAGAGTCAGGATTTGAGACACACTGGGAAAGGTTAGAATTAACTTTTACATAGGGCCTGTGCTAACTTTGCAAGAAGGCCGGCGGTAGTTGGGAAAAGAGCGAGGTGGTTGGAGAGTAGAAATAAACATATGTGACCCAGAAATTAAAGGCTAGGAACCTCTTGGTGGCGCCTCCCTTACTTGGGACAATAGATCATTCTTTAGGAAATAAGATGAGTGGCGTCCTGTTGCAGATGCAGGTGTCTGGTGGGCTGGGGATACCATGGCCCGGTTTGCGGCGCAGGATGGGGTATCGGCAGCGCTGGCGGCAGGTGCCCAGGCCTCTCATTGCGCGGCCCAGCCGGCCGCCCTCACCTGCGCGCCTGCTCCTCTGCCCCAGGAGGCCCTTGCAGAACCTTACCTAGGCAGGTTCCTTTGTCTTTCTTTTTAAATTTTAGAATTGGCTTATTCATAGCTGTAAAAAGAGGTTTGCTGAGGCTTTTATTGGACATGTGTGGAGTCTATAGATCAAAATTCCTTTTAAAATTGTTTGTTACCCTGTTCAGGGTAAATTCCACCCCATCCCCATACAGCAGATCCCCACTGTGTAGACAGCCCCCAGCAAGCCAGTTCGCTCAGTCCAGGCTCTGTGCCCCTGCTGCTCCTCTGCCTTCTAGCCAACCTTCCCTCGTGGCTAACATGCAGGGTGTCCATGACTCATTTCTAACACAAACTCCTGCTTACCGCCCAGAAAGGATGTGAGTGGTGGCCCTGGAAAGAGATGATCATGTCCGCTGCTTTTGTTATTTTTAGGCCCACAGTCACTTCCTCCTGATAGCAGGTCGGCTGAGATGTGCAGTT